TCCATTGCTTGCTTTTCTGTTCAGTTATTCATATTACACCTGTCTCAGACCTTTCTTATGTCTTCTTCTCTAAAACATTGCCTTTTCAGATGTCCCCCTTGCTCTGCCCCTCCCCCTCCCCTCTCCTCCTTCCTCCCCCCTCCCCTCTCCCCCCTCCTCCCCTGCCCATCCTTCTTCATTGATAGACTACTTTAGTCTCCCCCACTGTTGCGTTTATTTGCTCTGTGTCCCTTCCATGTTTGTGGTGATTTGTGTATTTCTTACTCTTCTCATTGCTTTGAAAAACCCTTGACAAGAAGCCACATCAGGGAGAAAGGTTTGTGTTGGTCTGTGCCTCAGGGAACACAATCCATTAGGCAAGGGAGGCCTGTTGGTGGGAGATCCACCTGTTCACACCTCGATGGATCAGACAGGAGAAGGAGAATGTGGGGCTCAGATGGGTTCCTTATTTCACAAAGACTTCACTATCACCTTTATTGACGAATAATCGACAGCTGTGTTTAATACGGATGCTGTTTCGGTGTGGTGTGGAATGATTACCACCGTCAAGTTAATGAACACATCTGTGATCTTACAGCGACCTTTTTTGGGGTGTGGTGGCAATCTTACTATCTGTGCCTCGGCAGATCTCACGGTGAGGTTTAGCAGCTGGTAGGGCAGCGTTTTGTCCCGGGAGTGGTTTTTTTGCACCTGCTTTGAGCCCGAGCTCCCGTCGCTGCTGGGGGCCCTTCCTAGTCTCCAGTTACTGAAGACGTTTCTCACTAATTGATCCCCAGACGATGCCTACTGAGAATCTATCAGGAGCCACACAAGTATATTCACAACTCATCTGATGTGTGTCGGTCTGGTGACAAATAGCACACCTCCCCACACCCGTCTTTTTCTTTTTGGCTGGAGAAGAAATGGTAGTCCAAGGCTGTGTAGCTAGGGAGGGCAGAGCCACGAGTCACAGCCGGGTGGCGTGTTTGTTGAGCACGGTCTGCCCCGTGTCCAAAGTCCTGGCTGTTCAGGGCTTGGGAACGCCCACTGGGACACCCCAGTCCCCAACTCCGTTACCTCTAACTCTTCTGGGGTGACACCCTAACTTACCAGTGCTTCACCACTAACCTTTTCCTATGTGATAGAGCATTGAACTTGGGGAAGACATTCTCAAGGGTTTAAGAACTAAAGCAATATACGTATTTGTTTGCATGTCCTAAAATTTCACTTTTGTAATTCAGAATGACGAGACATAATTATTTTTCTGAAATAATTTTCACTTACGCTTTGACAGTTTTATGCACATATACAACGTATTTCAGTCCCGCCCACCCCATTCTCCTCTCCTAGGCCCCTCCCACTCATGGAACCTTTCTCCCCGTTCCCACCTGGGTACATGTCTGTTTTAAATTATTTTTTTTTAAATAGCCCATTTAGTTTAATAAGGGTTGCTTGTGTGGGTCCCACTTAGTTCTGCACACCCGGCACTGGCTCTGCCGTGAACTCCCACTGTGAACTGTAACTGACGGAATAGAATTTGCTAGAACATGCTCGCTTGTGGATTGAAACAACAGTTCATGGATGCAGTGCTGTCCTTATCTCGGGATTGAGTTCCAGCCATTGTTACCGTTGATTTTTCTGAATGTAAGGCCGACAGTTCCTATAAATTTTGGCTACCCTGGCATCCATGGCTGCCTGGCATGTCAAGAGCACCATCCATTTGGGTGTGTGAAGCAGTGACACATGGGTGAGGGACATTTCCTGTCTGCTGCTCTTGGGTGGAACCTAGACCCCCTTTAATCCTTGGGTTTCTCTGGGTTTGTAGTTGATGGTTATGATAAACGGCACTGGTTACAGGGAGAAAAGTCACGGGCCATGGCCACGACTACCAGAGTTACAAACAGCTTTATTAGAAATAAAGAGGGGATAGGAGGGGGGAGAGCCAGGCTGGAGAGAAAGGAAGATGGCGGGAGGAGAGAGAGAGAGAGAGAGAGAGAGAGAGAGAGAGAGTGGATTGTGGGACTGCCGGGCTTGGGGAACCTGG